CAAATAAACTTTGTATATGGATGATGATTGTATTTTGAAGATGTGGTCTTTTTATATGTGATAATGTTTGTAGATACATTGTTTGATAAAAATAAAAAAGTGATTTCATTTTTAAAAGTCATGAAATGTACATTTTGGTGTGATTTTTATGAATGGTATTTTGACTCATAGTTTGGAATGAAGTGAATGTGCAGTGCATAATAATTGCTAGTGTAAAAATGTGATGGGTTTAGAGTTTGAAATTGATGGAGCTTAAATATATTTAAATTGTCTGTGTTTGATTATTCAAAAGTAGGTGTAATTTCAAAATGAGCAATACAAAATGATAAAAACAGATTGGTTAATTTTTCACATTGATGAATTGTAATATTTAAACAATATTTGCTTCTTCTTGGTAAACAATTAGTGAGTTATTTCCCTTTACTTATTGTGAACAGTTTGATACATTGGAAAATTTCTATATTTTTTGTTGAAAGCAAGTAAGTGTATGTTACTTGATTATATTATCTTTTATTATTGCAGGTTTGGTTTATTGGAAATACAGAAGATCTTAGAGCGGTGAAAGTGTGGCGAACTTTTACTTTAACAGAGCCAAAATATTCAAAACTAAGCGGTGAAAGTGTGGCGAACTTTTACTTTAACAGAGCCAAAATACTCTAAACTAAGCGGTGAAAGTGTGGCGAACTTTTACTTTAACAGAGCCAAAATACTCTAAACTAAGCGGTGAAAGTGTGGCGAACTTTTACTTTAACAGAGCCAAAATACTCTAAGCGGTGAAAGTGTGGCGAACTTTTACTTTAACAGAGCCAAAATACTCTAAACTAAGCGGTGAAAGTGTGGCGAACTTTTACTTTAACAGAGCCAAAATACTCAAAACTAAGCGGTGAAAGTGTGGCGAACTTTTACTTTAACAGAGCCAAAGAATCTAGAGAAATCTAGTTGCTATTCATATCTCAATTTTTATTACTAGAGAAATCTAGTTGCTATTCATATCTCAATTTTTATTACTAGAGAAATCTAGTTGCTATTCATATCTCAATTTTTATTATCTAGAGAAATCTAGTTCCTATTCAAAACTCAATTTTTATTACTAGAGAAATCTAGTTGCTATTCATATCTCAATTTTTATTACTAGAGAAATCTAGTTGCTATTCAAAACTCA